TTTTTTTTTTGGTGTCTTCCCATTCAAATAACACCTAACAGTATACATTTTTAAATGTCATAGAAAAACTTGGTTCTCCCATGAAATCCTTTAAATTCTTGATATATTTTTTTATGTAGACATTATTATGAATGAAAAACAGCCAACAAATGGGCACCTGTTGTTTTTTTTAACACTGAAGATTCACAGACACTTTAAAAGTTATCATAATCTTTCTTGTCTTTTTTCCCCTCAGCTTCAAATCCATCAACTCCATCACTATCCCTTCTTCGTTTCCTGTTGTTGTGGATGTTAAAACGTTGGCTCATTTGCGGTAATGGATCCATGCCTAGAACTTTGTGTATCTGGCGGAATGCAAGGAGTCTCAATGCAAACTGCAACAAAGAGTCAGAATTTTGAGTTAACCGGATAAACCCCAAGTAGTAATACTTATTACATTTACCTCCCTCCAAATGCAACATAAAAAAGCATGTGTAATGAAAGAAATATTTAAATGAATTAGTTTCACAAATGAAATAATCTGTAGGTTCTCATATTTTTATTTCCAGGCTTTTCTGTGTGCATGCCATTTTGTTTTCTTAAACATTAAGTTAAAAAAATTTAAATAAATTCAGTATTACGTTTATTTAAAAAAACAAAAAACACCATCCTGAAACTGCAAAAGAAAGTGTCTTTGTCACTGAGCAAGTCCCTCTTTTGTTCATATCCATATATTTTCCCAGTTTTTCATCAAATGCCCATGTTCACAGGGCTGCGGCATGGGCTGAACAAATGTACACCTCCCCAGCTTTATAAAAAGGATCGCAATTCATTTTTTTTTTCATTTAACCATTCATTCATATGCTTGTTCATTTAGCAGATACCTAATTAAGCACTTAGCATATCTGACTGTAAACAACAAGCAAAATTTCTGCTTTCATAAAGCTTACATTTAGTGGAGCTAGGACACACACAAAAATTACAAAAATTATGAGAAGTGTCACCAAAAAAACAAGCAGGGTATTGAAAACAAAGAAAAATGGGAGCTACCTGCTTTAACAGAATGGTTGCTGATGGCCTCCCTGGCATTTGGTAGACAGCACATAATTTAAGAACTGTAATTATACTCATGTGGATGTACCAAACTTATTTACCTAATTTTCTACTGGTAAACAGTAGGCTGGTTCCAGTATTTTTATTACTGTACTACAATGAATGCCTGTTTTAAGATGTTTCTGTGTACTGAAGTGACAATTTCTGGAGAAGTAACTTTTAATCAGTGGGACTGCTGAACATGTAAAAGTGAATACTGACAAACAATGCTCCCCAAAATTTATACTGATTAACGTATCTACTAGTAATATGTATGCAAGTCTGCTTCCCCTTCTGGATACTATAAATGGGAAAAAAAATTCTCACAGGTATGATGGGCCAAACAGTATCTAATTGTTATTTATAATTCTTTTTTTTTTTTTTTTTTTTTGGTGACAAGGTCTTACTCTGTTGCCCAGGCTGGAGCGCAGTGGTGCCATCACAGCTCACTGCAACCTCAATCTCCCTGGGCTCAAGTGACCTCACTCAGTCTCCCAAGTAGCCAGGACCACATGCCCGTACCAACATAACTGGCTAATTTTTGTATTTTCTGTAGAGATGGGGTTTCTCCATGCTGCCCAGGCTGGTCTTGAACTCTGCCCACCTGCTAGGATTATAAGCATGAGCCATTACGCCCAGCTATAACTTGTATTTTCTTTTTCTTTTTCTCTTTTTTTGAGATGGAGTCTCTCTCTGTTGCCCAGGCTAGAAGGCAGGGGTGTGATCTCGGTTCACCGCAACCTCCGTCCCTCGAATGCAAGCAATTCTGCTATCTCAGTCTCCTGAGTGAGTAGCTGGGACTACAGGTGCCCACCATCACACCTGGTTAATATTTGTATTTTTAGTAGAGACTGGGTTTCACCATGTTGGCCAGGCTGGTCTTGAACTCCTGATCTCATGATCCACCTACCTCGGCCTCCCAAAGTGATGGGATTACAGGCATGAGCCACTGTGCCTGGCCAAAATTTTTTTTTTAATAGAGATGAGGTTATGCTATGTTGCCAGGTTGGTCTTAAACTCCTGGGCTCAACCAATCCTCTTGCCTCGGCCTCCCAAACTGTTGAGATTACAGGTGTGAGCCACTGTGCCCGGCCCTAACCTGTTTTTCAAAGTGACTGCTGTTCAGACTATTTTAAATCCCTGCTCTGATTATGAGATATAAGATAGTTACTGGTTATAGTCATCCACATGGGAATTTATTGCTCCAAAACTTTTCCCCCAAGGTAACTAATTCTAGTTCCTAAGAATTTTGCCTCATACACATGCTTTGAAAATCCTGAAAGTCTCAAAGTCATCAGCAGTCAGGACTTGATACAGCATGCTACTTAGTCTGCAATTATTACAGACTTTTGCCAGTACTGTTTCTCTACCTCACTTAAGTTATAAGGCTGTTAATCTCCCAGGTAAGAACTAGGAATTTTTATCATCATAATATACTAACTCTTTGAGAGAAACTTATAAGATCCTTCCTAAAGATAACAGAACAGGGTTTTCTTCTACATTAATAGAAAATATCCAAAGGTATCTCATATACAATAACAAGTATTTATACTTTTTTTTTTTTTTGAGACAAGAGTTTTGCTCTTGTTGCTCAGGCTGGAGTGCAATGGTCCAATCTTGGCTTACCACAACCTCCACCTCCCAGGTTCAAGCGATTCTCCTGCCTCAGCCTCCTGAATAGCTGGGATTACAGGCATGTGTCACCACACCTGGTTAATTTTTAAAAATTTTTAGTAGAGGTGGGGTTTCTCCATGTTGGTCAGGCTGGTCTCAAACTCCTGACCTCAGATGATCCACCTCCTTCGGCCTCCCAAACCGCTGGGATTATGGGTGTGAGCTACTGTGCCTGGCTGAATATTTAGAGATATTGCTACTAAGCTCCTATTCCTTTTTTTGAAACAGAGTCTTACTCTGTTGCCCAGGCTGGAGCGCAATGGTATGATTTTGGCTCACTGCAGTGCCTCCTGGGTTCAAATGGTTCTCGTGCCTCAGTCTCTAGAGTAGCTGGTACTATAGGAGCTCATGCCACCACTCCCAGCTACTTTATTTTTAGTAGAGACAGGGTTTTGTCATATTGGTCTCAAACTCCTGACCTCAGGTGGTGGTCTGCCTGCCTCGGCCTCCTTAAGTGCTGGGATCACAGGCTTAAGCCACTTTGCCCGGCCCAGCCGATGCTAATATTATTAATAGTTTCTAAATGAAAGAATACTCCAATAAGTAAAACCAAGGTAGCATTTGAGGCTTTAGTGAGCACTCTACAATCTCTTGCTCTGCATGTGGTTTGTAGGTATTTCTAAGGTCAGGCAAGAAGAGAAAATTCTATCATATTGACAATTATTTAGCAGCAAACTAAATTTGAAGATTGATATGAATTATTCCCATACAAAGACATTTTGGAATTTTAATAATCATCAAAGATTAAAAGTTTATTTTACAATCTATTTCCTTTTTGGGAAGGGGTGATTAACCTTATAAATTTAGCCCTTTTAAAGGTACGTTAAACTATGTACACCTACCTAGAGGAAGGAATTTTATTAAATGACAAAGGCTTGTATCTGGCAGAGGCAACTTGAAAAGGATCACTGGAGAAAAAACATAGTGGCATACAAGAATAAAGGTAGACACTATAGAAGGAAATATGGCATCATTCCAGAGACAAAGGAAGGAAGAGGGACATTAACATGGGAGCTACAGGCCACCAAAAAATAAACTGAAATTGACACTGGTGCTTCATATTTCATCAGTTATATACATTTATTTATATGTGCAAGTGTGTACAGCTCAATGCAATTTCATCACATATGCAGCCTTATGTGATGTAATCACCATCACAATCAAGATGGTCAACTGTTCTGTTGCCACAAGACCCCCTTTGGAGCCACGCCATTCCTTCCTATCCTTAACTCCTAGGAAGTACCAATCTGTTTCCTTCTCATGCAACTATTATTTCATGAGTGCTACATAAATGCATTATATATTATGTAACTCCTTCACTTTTAGTAAGAACACTTCTAAATGTTCTCCTAAAACCAGACCACTTTCTTTAAGGTCACATTTTTTGAAAAATAAGCATTCCTCTTTTTTTTTTTTTTTGAGACAGAGTTTCACTCTTGTTACCCAGGCTGGAGTGCAATGGCACGATCTCGGCTCACCGCAACCTCCGCCTCCTGGGTTCAGGCAATTCTCCTGCCTCAGCCTCCTGAGTAGCTGGGACTACAGGCACGCGCCACCATGCCCAGCTAATTTTTTGTAGTTTTAGTAGAGACGGGGTTTCACCATGTTGACCAGGATGGTCTCGATCTCTTGACCTCGTGATCCACCCGCCTCGGCCTCCCACAGTGCTGGGATTACAGGCTTGAGCCACTGCGCCCGGCCTAGCATTCCTCTTAATAACGAATTTTGTTAGTTTTCAAGTGTTTCCCCCTGAATTTCTTTTCCCTTAAATTTATAACTAATTCTCATAATTACCAAAGGGAGAAAGAAGAGACACTCAAGGCAACTATCTTCTTCCTTAGAAAATTAAATAAAAGAAATAAAAACATCAAATGCGTAAGAATTTGGCATGTTCTGGGTCTGTAAGATATCCATAAAGTTCTACTACTACTATCTCTCCCCTAGTACAGTTTCTGGCATAACAATTTACATCTTTCAAATTCCAAATTATTCAAGATAATAAATCAAGATCTTAAATCCAACAACTCCCAAGTATCTTAGAGTGGATTATTGTTCATAGCTACTATGCTTTTTTCCCCCAGTCAGCACATTTCTGGAATCAACAATGGAAAGCTATACCAACTTTAGGTTGATTATTTTTTCATTCATTAATTAGGTTCAACGTTTTCTCTTTTTCATAGTTATTCTCTCAATAGGGTTAATAAGATGAAGATAATACCAGCTAACGTTTAAGATCCTTCCATAAACCTGGTGCTAGGATGGTTACACATATTAACTCATTTAATCTTCTCAACAATCCTGTTTGAGAAGATATTGCTTTTATATCCATATTATAGATGAGAGGGCAGAACTGGTAGTCAAATCCAGGGATTCTGTCTCCAGAGCCCTCATTTTTATTTGCTTTATTTGACAGTGGCAGGAAAGGTTAAATTATAACAATAATGACCATAAACACCACAGCAAATGACTTTTGTACAACCAGAGGACATAAGAATTTCTGCTGATCTCGATACATAACCTATTATCCAGATTCAATGAGACACTGAAAATATTACTCTATTTTTATAATATATAATGTGCTTACTTAGAAGTGGCCATATAACTAAATAATAAAATTTTGAACTCTATTAGTTAAATCTAATAGAATTTTTTGGGCAAGCTATTTTAATATCCTCTCTAAGGATTTGCTTACTACAGAAGCAGAAGAATAAATATTACATAGTGAGTTACAATATTTAGGACAATAACAGAAAAATAAAACCTTACTGGAGTAACTCACTAGAGCTCTGGATTTGGGAATACTAGTACCTGTGCACTGGATGTAATGTCTTCACGCTGCTGGTCAGTCATTGTTGCCAAGGTATCAAAGGGATCCTTTTCACAAGGATCCAAAAGTCCAGGACTACCTACAACAATTACCACAGGGAGACAAAAGCATCAGCACTGTCTGTTCATAAAAAAAAATATTCAACCAGCAAATGAGTAAATTTCATTTTACTTCGTTAAAAACAAAGTAAAAGTTACCTTTAAGAATAATCCCCGAAGAAATGCACTCAAAAACTCTTCTCAGTGCATCCCCAGGGCTCTGAGGGCTAGAAGCACTGCTGATTGCTTTCTCTACTAATAACTCCATAGCCTAAAAATAAAACATAAAAATGTGTTTAACAGCTTACCAATTAAAGGAATTACTCATTTTCAAACACTAGAATGACAAACTAAAATTTTAAAGATTGAAAAGCTATATAAAACAAATCACAAAAACAGAAAATAAATATTACATATAATATAAAACGTTCAAAATTAAGTAATAAAAGTCAAGCAAAGAAAACAAAATTAAGGCAATACAAAATTTACATTTTGGAAAGATTTTGTAGTTTGTGCTTAATGGAGAAAAATGCAAGAGTAACAGATTTTTTTGTTTTATTTTTAATTACTACTTACCTTTATAATAGCTCTTAAAATTATTTGGATTATGAGGCTTCTCATTTGAAAAAAAATTCTTTAGATATCTGGGGTTCACACACATTTATTTTCTGATACCTGTAAGACTGCTAAGGGAGTTTGAGTAGACACTATTCTACTAAGTACAAGACTTTTGGTTTTTTCTTTACAAAAATTGGGAATCATTTAAATTTTCATTAGACACGGCCAGACTTCTATTACCTCTAAGGAAAATACAAATTATGTTTTCACAGTAAATTACAACTGAGAGACTAAAAATCTAAACCAATGAATAAAAGACAAAAATGAAAATATATATAGCTGGTGTGGTGGCTCACGCCTGTAATCCCAGCACTGTTGGGAGGCCAAGGGAAGCAGATCACTTGAGATCAGGAGTTCGAGACCAGCCTGGCCAATATGGTGAAACCCCATCTCTACTAAAAATACAATAATTAGCCGGCATGGTGGTGCGTGCCTATAGTCCCAACTACTCAGGAGGCTGAGGCAGAAGAATGGCTTGAACCTGGGAGGTGGAGGCTGCAGTGAGCCAAGGTTGCACCACTGCACTCCAACCTGGGCGACAGAATAAGACTCTGTCTCAAAAAAAA